CCTGAGGAGGCTGCTGTTTTGGATTGATTTATATATTAATTTATGTACATTGTGGTGATCTTGGGCTTAGGGATTTTATTTTAGTCCTTTTTTAGTCCTTCTGTCTCTTCTAAATTCCGTCCTTCTGAGCACTTCTTTGGAGAGTACTTGTAATCAGATGAATTATACAATATCAGAATGTTAGAAAATGAAACCCTAGACTTTTATCTAGCTCTCATCATCCTACAAAATACAGAAATAGATGGGTGGTTGCAATGAATCACATTTTGTGCCTTATTCAGTTCACGTGGCTTAACAGCTGATTCATACAGAACTGCTACCTAATGCTGCTCTTGGTGACAGGCTGCATGCCAAGAAAACAGTCCTGGTACGCTACAGAGTACCATCTCTGTCTAGAGAGTCCTGTGACCCCTGATAAAAGAATTATTTGAAACTATGAATATATTGATTTAATTTCTTGATCGTTTGAACTCGCGCTCTGTGAAAGGAGCTTCTGTGTCCTGCTGTAGCTGACCCCGCTTCAGCAGGGGTTTGGACTAGATGATGTCCAGAGATCCTTTCCAACTTAAACAATTCTGTGCGCCTGGAAAAGAGTAGGGAAGAAAAAAGCTAGAAAGCTCTCAAAATCCTAAAAGCAAAGGAGTTATTACTTTAATTATTAAGGTAAAATGAAGTGTAATGCTTTTGTCTTCTCAAAAAGCTTAAAGAGGATCAAGGAACTTTCCTCGTACCTGACAGGCCTGAAGTAACAAGCCATGTTTAGTAAATATTTATGGTACACAGTTCAAAGCTTCTGGAGGAAGCTTGGCTTTGAGTTGTATAATCCTGTGGAATTTCTGTTTCTCTGTATATGTTTATGGTACATCAAATATAGAATCATAGAATCATAGAATGGTTTGGGTTGGAAGGGACCTTAAAGATCATCTAGTTCCAACCCCCCTGCCATGGGCAGGGACACCTTGCACTAGACCAGGTTGCTCAAAGCCTCATCCAGCCTGGCCTTGAAGACATCCAGGGATGGGGCATCCACAACATCTCTGGGCAACCTGTTCGTTCTAAATGTTGGCTATCACAACTTTGTTTTCCTTATTTTGTCTGGAATTTTTGGCTGTTTTATGTGTGCAGATCCACAGAACAGAGTATATATTTGCATGGCACTTTCTGGCTGGAAGTACGAGAGCCATAACTAGCCATCATTACTGGGTTAGAGGAAGGGATGAAAGCTGACTGACAACAAACCTGCTGCTGACCAATGCGACCTTCAGTTCCATAGCAGAACCGTGTGAAACAAGTGGGGTGTGAGCATTTGTCATCAAGCTCGGGAAGAACATGTTCAGTCTCCTGAGTGGTGACTGCGCAGTGCTTATTTGCACCATTCAGAAGTAACCTGCTCGCAGAGATGGATGTCAGCAAGAAGTGATTTGTCAAGAATCAGAGAGGAGCTAGTGTTTCATAGCTTGTTACTGAAAACTCTCAGAACATCGAAGAACATACCATGCCCACTGGTAACACAGGCAACAGTTTTTAGTGGATCTGAATTTGATGTACATAATGTTATTTTGTTTCCATGGTTCACAATTAATTCAACTGATTATTTTATATTCATAACAATATTCCAGAAGTATCTAAATATAAAAGTTTCATCCTTTCGGGGAACACTTTCTGCAGCTATACAGGGGGGTGTGAGCATACATACAAGAGCAGTTGGGTTGCTTTAAGGCTAATGAGTTACGGCTTGCCATCTCTGACTGCTCTACTTCCATGTTAAAAAGACCTTTAATTTAAAATTTGACATTACACACAGATGTGCGGGTGTGTAAAAAGAATAGTTTGAAAAAAAGGCCAACAACACCCCCCCCATATATATATATATACACTTACACATATATATTAAAAAAAAGTGTAGCTGTGCTACGTTTTTTAATTGCTGTCATTCCTCATTACGCAGAAATGCATTAATTTGGCTCTGAATAGTCCTGTTGGTCAGTAAGCAAGACGCTGGCTTTTAGAGTCCTGTAGCTCCAGCAGTCAGATTGACTGTTCTTGTCCGTGCTGGGTGAGTTCAGAAGCTTAATTTATCCGTTAGGACGGTCACTCCTGTGCCAGTAACACAACACCTATCCTTCATGCAGTCCTTCCCTAGCTTCAGCCCGCTGACGAAAAGCCCAAAAGAAAACTTTAGATGGAACTAGCTGTTTGTTAAAGCAGGGAAAGGAAATAGAGGGATGTTGGGGAAAAGTAGAGCAGAAGAAAAAGGTGTTTTCATTGTGGAGGAAGTTCTGTTACATTGACGTGCTGCCGTTAGGAGTTTGAATGGGAGAAAAGGGTTAGTAGATATCTGGGTCAGTAGTTTAAATCATCTTACAGATAGTAACGAGGTTGAAGCCTTTTGTGTTGGAATTACAAAAGCGATCATAATCAGGCACGTCTATGTTGCAAAATGTTTTTAAGGTACCCCTGTATTTGTACTATTTGGAGCTCTCTTTAAATTTGAATGTAAGTAAAAGAGTTCAGATAGATCACCTCATGTTGTTAACTGCTTGTGTCCTACGGAACCCAGCAGTGCCTGGAATACTACAGTACGTTAACTTAAACAGTGAAAAATAGAGTAACTAAATCTGCTATGCAGAGAACAGTGTCGTCCTGTACAAACTAATTGCTGAGCCATTCGTTACGTTAAGTCTGGTTTTTCTATGCTGCAGTAAGAAGTTGATCTAGTGGTCTCTAGAGACTTGCACAGTGTCTAGATTCTAGTCTCTAGATTCTGCACAGTGGCTTCCCCCCCCCCCCCCCCCCCCCTTCCCCCCCCCTTTTTTTTTTTTTTCCAAGCTAGCACTAGCTGCAGCAGCGTGCTAGGCAGGACAGCGTGCGGCATGTCAGCTGACTCAAGTATTAGTTTCATGGTACAGGGGGAAATGAAGCGTTTGATTCCCTAAGTTTTCACTTCTTCGGTGTAATGGTGAGCATATTATGGCTGGGCTTGGGGAGTTTTCAATCTAATTTTTTTTTTGCATGATGTTATGATTAAGTTAAGGAAGTGAATCTGTTGTATTCCTTAGATATTATTTGCTACAGGTGTCCTTTTGCTAAGCCAGTTCAGAGTGCTGGGCAAAAAGAAGGCCAGCTCCTCCTCTGCTCCCCATTTGGGGAGAAGGAGGGGGGAGTCAGGACTGTAGAGGCATAAAGTGACGATTATTATAACAACATAGTTTGCCCATGTTACTGTGCTACTTGGTTCTTCCTAAACAGTTAAATTGGTGTTGGTAAATCTACAGATTTAGAAGATGCCTTCTGAAGTTTAATATTGCTAAGTCATCCTCAGTGAAGTATGTGGCATAAAGGTTTATATTTAGCACTTCAGTGCAGCAGTGCAGTTAGGAGTAGAAAATTGCTTTCTCACTCGACTGCAAATAATGAAAATTTAGAAGTTGGCACATAAGTCATTGCTTCAGTGTATGATTTTTCAAGCGTGTGTTTCTGATGGAGAACTAAACAAGCTAGTTTCACTGTATAAATTAGTATTCCTTTTCCATAATACTGTCTTGTGCTTTAGCGACATTACCGTTTCTCGGTAATTTCTAGCCAGTAATCAGGAGAGAGGAGAAACTCATAGATTGTGGAAAAATGGGATCCTTATACCACCACAGTGACACAGCAAATCAAACTCTTTTATGCGTTTCTGTGACTTGATGTTTGATCTGCGTTACCTTCGGAGAGAATGCATGTTCTGTGACTTTTTGCACACAAGATCATGTCAAATCCAGAAGGTGGGATTATTCTGTAGGATTTGGAATGTCCCAGTGTGATAGGGACAAGATGCCAGAGTTGTTACTGAGGAAACTGTGCCCAGGATACAGGGAGCTGCGCGGTTGTCCCTCGCTCCCGGTCCCAGCTGGGTGGTAGTGTGCAGGGCACTTGGTGCCTCCTCCTCACTTGTTTCAGGTTGCTGCGTTTAGCGTGATTCCAGCCTTCTGTTTGCAGTCAGGGAAGGTGCAGAGTGCAGTCTCCCACACAACCCCTGAGCATCGACATACTAACAACTCCATATCGACACAGTACCCACCTCACCTAAGTCTCCTGCCGATGGGAATGGGTGTTTCAGGCTGTAGGCTGGTATTTTGCTGACTGGAATTCAACTTTCATTCCATTAGGATGGCATGTGTTTTTCTGCTGTGGGACAGTTGGTTTGTACCGGTTTGTGTGTGGTGTATTTCTCAGTATTTTAATGTTCCGGTGCTGCTGCTTTACCTAGAACTGCTTGCTAGTCTAGGCAGATAATAGAAGCAGAAGCATGTGTGATTACCACGGAAATGAGATTTAATGGGAAGCTTCAGTGTATGGAAAGTTTATGTGGAGGAATAAAAGAGGAAAATGGAAGTTTATAGTGAGGATGAATAAGGTGTTTATTTTTTCCTCTGCTCTCCTGAGCAAACAACGTGATGCTTAAAAAGAAAAAAGCTGGGCATTGTAAACTGGCAAAACTATGGGAGAGGTTTTGCATGAAGACACTGGAAGCATTTCCTCTCCCACTCTGCCACCTATGTGTACATGTCTTCATAGTGTTCTGCTTTCCACCCTCTGCATCCTTTTAACAGTCCCTTTCTCACAGCTATTTTAAGATATTTTAACATGGTGATCACTTAATTCTTGAACTTCCTGAGATTCTTGGGTAAATCCGAGTGCAGTAAATGTGACAGGGCAGTTAGCAAAACCTTGGATATGCAGTAGTGCAACAATGTGCCTTGCAGTTTGAAACCTCTCTCTGACCGTATGGAATCATTTTGACCTGTAATTAATGTGTTTATAGGAATGGATTTATACCTGGTAATGAGTTTTATTGCTTTTTAATGCGTCCTTACCATGCGAAAAGAAAAATACATGTCTGCTAAGATGTTTCCTGAATTGATATCCTTCTATAAAATGAATATTCTTTTTACTAAGTTATGGTTCTCTCTTCTTTTTTTTTTTTCCTTCCCCCTCCCCGTGGTTTTGTTTTGCAGAGCTCTGGGATTGAAACGTTAGTGGAGGAGCTTTGCTCCAGACTGAAAGACCTTCAGAGTAAGCAAGGTGAGGAATAAAACTTGACATTTCTGATGTATATTAAACTTCTCAACTGACGCGGGGGTGGTGGGGCAGGCTGTGAATTCCGTAGCTCTTAATGCAGGCTGTGCAATTTGAAAGTACACTGAAGAACTTCATTCAGTCTGCACTAGTATGTCTGTTTACCTAAGAGATAGCCTTTCACAAATGGAGCTTTCCTCCTGGAAAGCTGTAACTGTTCATATCCAGCTATGCTTGCTTTTTTTAGTAAATATTCCATATTCACCACTCCCCTCCAAAAGAAACCAAAATAAAGTAGACTTGATTTTGTTCCTTTTGTGTATTGTTTTTTGAAGAGTGGATTTGCCTCAAAATTGTTATATACTAGCTATTCCTCTAAAAAGCATCCAAGAAGGCATCACAGAGAGTTGGGCTTAATTTCCAGGCTTTAGGGGAATGTCAGGGGCTCTATGTTGTCAGGCTTAGGGCAGGGAGCACAGTATAAGATTGTGGTGTCTGCAGTGAATGTTCATAGCCCATAAATGCTTGTTTACATGCATAGCAGCAGCCTTTGGCACTTGGTAAAATTAATACGCTTATCATGTAGTAAATGTTTTTCCCTTATTTACTGGTGTTTACACCTGCTCAGAGCATGACTTTAAGCTGCTTCCATCCCCTTTTCTGTTTTTCAAGAGTAGTTACTAGTCAGCTCTTAGTATTTCATACTGCTGTGCTGTGAGACTTTCACTGAGCTGTGGTGATGGTGATCATGTATTTTGGAAAAAAAGTAAAATTAGTGTATATTTCACAGCACTTTTTTGGTATTTTACAGATTTCAATATATAGAATTAGGAATCTTTACAGTCACCTCTTACATCCACCCAAAGCACAGCAACTGCTGCAGGGGCTCTTCCTTTTAGTGAGATGCATGAGAAGTAAATAGTTGATTGTTTTAAAAATCTTTTTTTTTTAAATATATGTAGTGATGCAAGGAGGAGATAAGGATTTGGATATGAAATAACTAAAAATTCAGTAGGAAGTCTGCTAGTGGGGGCACTGCTGACCATGAAGCTGCATGCAGCTGCTAGCCAGTTATGCAGGGCTTAAGGAGACAGCTGTGGAAAACTTGAATCTTGGCTGGTAACTTGTAATTGCTTTATGTATAACAACCACGCTATGAACTGTTGTTATTTACAGTGTTTAATGGGAATTTACTACTGTTGCAGGTGTATGTCCTGGTGCTTTATGTTAATACTGTTATTAAATACACGGGCTTTGTGAATTTTTATGTTACGTATTCGGAATTTTCTTCCAAAACAGAGGAGAAGATTCACAAGAAGTTAGAAGGCTCTTTGTCTCCTGAGACTGATTTATCTCCCACAGCAAAGGATCAAGTAGAAATGTATGCATTTTTTTATTATTATTATCTGAGATGCTTTTCTCTTTTCTCTTTTATGCCCGTATTTTAACATGGTGACGTTAACTTAGTGGGGAATACGGAGTTTTGTGGGTATTAAGAAATATATTTTTTTCCTGACATTCTACTTTGTTAATCTTTTATATTTAAACATGAACATTTGGTACCCTGGGCTAGTTTAATTTCTGGCAGAGTCCTGACTGCTTTTTTTTCTGTACTATGTGCAGAACTCAAACATACTGTATTTTAGTTGTCTTGAGACTAAGTCAACTAGACAAATAATTAATGCTGTTTCAAAGGCTTTTAAACACGTTAGACTTGCAGGGAAATAATCTGTTTCCTGGGTTCACAGAATGGTTTGGGTTGGAAGGGATCTTACAAAGGATCATTTAGTCCAACCCCCCTGCCATGGGCAGGGACATCTTCCACTAGACCAGGTTGCTCAAAGCCTCATCCAGCCTGGCCTTGAACACTTCCAGGGATGGGGCAGCCACAGCTTCTCTGGGCAACCTGTTCCAGTGCCTCACCACCCTCTCCGGGAAGAATTTCTTCCTGATGTCCAATCTAAATCTACCCTGTTTTAGTTCAAAACCATTACCCTTGTCTTACCTTGTTCAGAACTCTATTTTCTGTTGCAGAAATGGGAAACTGAAACTCTTTTATAACCTTGAAACTCTCTATAACCAACCTGTTACCAGGTAACCAGACTAGTTACCAAGTACCCGAGTTCAGTGTTACTGAAGTGCCCAGGAGTTTATCATTGGCTTCTCTTATGACTGCATCTGTATCTCTTCATAATGACCACTGGTAGCAAGTCTAGTAGGGGTGTTGCTAAATGGATGATACTTCCTCAGGGAAGTGACAGTGCTAATGTGCATTTAACTTAACTGACCTCTGGATCAGTTTTAGTATGTTTGCATTGAAGTATAAACCTCTTCACTATCAAACATGCTACTATAATGTTGCAGAAAACCGTATTTTAATTTTGTCCCTGTTGCACAAAGCTGTTAAGCATCTTAAACTGCTCAAGAATAGTGTGTTTTGGCATAGCTTTTTCTTAATACCTGGGGGATCAAACTATGTAGAACTTAAATGATGATGCCTCATTTCAGAAAGGAGAATTGAAAAAACAGAAATTCAGGACTGGACTGACTGAAATTCAGGACTGTGTCATTTATACTGTAAATCAAACAGGAGTTTAAGACGACTGTAGGGAACTGCTACATGACCTAATAAATCTGGAGTCAGGCCTTCACTCTTTTAAGCATCCACAGTTTCTGTCTGCAGTGAAGTTTGGTTCTCCCTAAAAATGGGACAGTTTTAGATGGCAGTGTATTTTTCAAACATATATTAATGTATCAGCACTCGTAAAGCTTATCTTGATCTTCCTTTTGTTATCATTCAGATAAACAGTGCAGTGAGTGGCAGGTGTATATGTGGAGGAAACTAGATTTTTTGGCAATCAGATGGGTAATGTTTTGATGTGTTTTCAGTAACACTTTCTACTCTTAATGCCCGACTGAAGTTCTGCGATCTGAATGTCACCTTTTTGTCTTGCTTTCAGGTACTATGAAGCATTTCCTCCTCTTTCAGAAAAGCCAGTTTGCCTGCAGGAAATTATGACTGTATGGAATAAATCCAAAGTATGCTCTTACTCTAGCTCCTCATCTTCATCCACTGCTCCACCAACTAGCACGGATACATCTTCTCCGAAGGACTGCAATAGTGAAAGCGAAGTAACTAAAGACAGAAGTAACAAGGTATCTGCCACTGTACAGGAAAGAACACAGCAGAAGAAAAGTAAAAACGAGAAAGAAAACAAGTTCAGTAACAACACCGTTGAAGAGAAGCCTGTTCTGTACAAAAAGCAAGTCCGACATAAGCCTGAGGGAAAGATGCGTCCTCGCTCCTGGTCATCTGGATCCAGTGAGGCTGGCTCAAGTTCTAGTGGTAATCAAGGTGAATACAAGGCATCAATGAAATGCATTAAAGTAAGACACAAAACAAGAGAGGTTCGAAATAAAAAAGGGCGTAATGGGCAAAGCAGGCTTTCCGTGAAATCTGGTGAAAAGGCTGATAGAAAAGTCCCCAGCGGAAGCAGCAGCAGCAGTAGCAGCGGGTCCATCAAACAGCTGTGCAAAAGAGGTAAAAGGCCATTAAAAGAAATCGGAAGAAAAGAAGGTGGCGGTAGTGATGGAAAAGATTTGTATCTCGACAGCGGGAATGAAAAGGAGTATAAAGAAGAACCCTTGTGGTATACTGAGCCGATTACAGAGTACTTTGTTCCTCTCAGCAGAAAAAGCAAGCTGGAGACTACATACCGCAACAGGGAAGATATATGTGGCGTCACATCAGAGGCTGTAGAAGAGTTGTCTGAATCAGTGCATGGTCTTTGTATTAGCAACAATAATATTCATAAAACATACCTCGCAGCAGGTACTTTCATCGATGGTCACTTTGTAGAAATGCCTGCAGTTCTAAATGAGGATATTGACCTCGCTGGGACCTCACTATGTTCTCAACCAGAGGACGACAAATACTTAGATGATGTTCATCTGTCAGAACTAACACACTTCTATGAAGTGGATATTGATCAATCCATGTTGGATCCTGGTGCCTCAGATACGATGCAAGGGGAGAGTCGGATTTTAAATATGATTCGACAGAAGAGTAAAGAAAAAACTGATTTTGAGGCAGAATGTTGCATAGTGTTAGATGGAATGGAGTTGCAAGGGGAAAGTGCAATATGGACAGATTCGACCAGCTCTGTTGGTGCTGAAGGGTGGTTCTTGCAAGATCTTAGTAATTTAGCTCAATTTTGGGAGTGCTGTTCATCTTCTAGTTCTGGTGATGCAGACGGGGAAAGTTTTGGAGGAGATTCTCCGATCAGATTCTCCCCCATCTTAGACAGCACAATGCTTAATTCACACATGCTTGCTGGCAATCAAGAGCTCTTTTCAGATATTAATGAAGGGTCTGGTATAAACTCTTGTTTTTCAGTGTTTGAAGTGCAATGCAGTAACTCTGTTTTACCATTTTCTTTTGAAACACTCAACTTGGGAAATGAAAATGCAGATTCTAGTAGCACTGCTAATATTCTTGGGAAAACACAGTCTAGATTGCTAATATGGACCAAAAATAGTGCCTTTGATGAAAATGAACACTGTTCCAATCTGTCAACAAGAACCTGTAGTCCATGGTCACACTCGGAAGAAACACGTTCAGACAATGAGACTTTAAATATTCCATATGAAGAATCAACGCAGTTTAATGCAGAAGATATTAATTATGTAGTTCCTAGAGTGTCTTCGAGTTATGTAGATGAAGAAATTCTAGATTTCTTGCCAGAAGAAACCTGCCAGCAACAAGCTAGAACTTTAGGTGAAATGCCCACTTTGATTTTCAAAAAAAAATCCAAGCTAGAATCTGTCTGTGGTATTCAGCTAGAACAAAAAGCAGAAAGCAAAGACTATGAAACTACACAAGGGTGTAGTGAAAGCAGTCCGCGTGGAGATGGCTACAGCTCAGGGGTTATTAAAGATATTTGGACAAATATGGCAGACAGAAATTCTGCAGCGATGGTAGAAATAGAAGGAATAGAAGATGAATTGTTTCCAGCTGATGTAAATAACTATTGCTGCTGTTTGGATACAGAAGCAAAAGTTGAAACCCTCCAGGAGCCCAATAAAGCAGTGCAGAGATCAGAGTATCATCTCTGGGAAGGTCAAAAGGAGAATTTAGAGAAGCGAGCCTTTGTCTCAAATGAGTTATCAAAAGTAGATGGTGGTGACTACACTACACCATCAAAACCTTGGGACGTTAACCAGGAGAAAGAAAACTCGTTTATACTTGGCGGTGTGTATGGGGAGCTGAAAACGTTTAACAGTGATGGGGAGTGGGCGGTGGTGCCACCCGGTCACTCTAAAGGGAGCTTATTGCAGTGTGCAGCTTCGGACGTGGTGACGATAGCTGGTACAGATGTTTTCATGACTCCAGGTAACAGCTTTGCCCCTGGCCATAGGCAATTATGGAGGCCATTTGTATCATTTGAGCAGAACGAGCAATCCAAGAGTGGAGATAATGGAATAAATAAGGGTTTTTCTTTTATCTTCCATGAAGACTTACTGGGAGCTTGTGGTAACTTTCAAGTTGAAGAACCAGGGCTTGAATACTCATTCTCTTCCTTTGACCTGAACAATCCATTTTCACAAGTTCTTCATGTAGAGTGTTCGTTTGAGCCAGAAGGAATTGCATCATTCAGCCCTAGTTTTAAACCGAAGTCAATTCTGTGCTCTGACTCAGACAGTGAGGTTTTACACCCCAGGATAAGCGGTGTTGATCGAACGCAGTACAGGGCTATACGGATTTCTCCAAGGACTCACTTTCGCCCAATATCTGCATCTGAACTTTCTCCAGGTGGTGGAAGTGAGTCAGAATTTGAGTCAGAAAAAGATGAGGGCGGTATTGCTGTCCCTTCTCAAGTAGACGTATTTGAGGATCCGCAAGCAGATCTCAAACCTCTGGAAGAAGATGCAGAAAAAGAAGGGCATTATTACGGAAAATCGGAGCTTGAATCTGGGAAGTTCCTTCCCAGATTAAAGAAGTCTGGAATGGAGAAGAGTGCGCAAACATCGTTGGATTCCCAAGAGGAGTCGGCTGGGATGTTGCCAGTAGGAAACCAAGATCCTTGTTTAGAATGCAGTATGAAAGAATCTCTAGACGGGAGGGCGATGGAGAGCTCTAAAGTAAACTGCAGAATAGTGGAGCCACGTGAGGAGACTAGCAGGTTTTGCAGTTGTAAAGCAGGGTGCCATTTCCCCACGTACGAGGATAATCCTGTTTCTTCAGGAGAGCTTGAAGAGGTATGTGGATATATAGAATTATGTACTGTGCAGCTGGCAGCCGATAACCAGCGGTTTGTCATGTGACAGTTCAATTTAAATGTTTGTATAGTTCTCTAGAAAAAACTCAGTTTTGTAGAAACACTGGAGGTTCCACCTGAACGTAAGGAAAAGCTTTTTTACTGTGCCGGTGACCTAGCTATGGCACAGGTTGCCCAGGGAGGTTGTAGAGCCTCCATCCTTGGAGATCCTCAAAAAGACATCTGGACGTGGTCCTGGGCAACCTGGGGGCCCAGCTTGAGCAGGGGGAGCCTGACACGATGACCTCCAGAGTTCCTGTTGAACCTCAGTCATTCTGTGAAAAATTAACCATCTTCTGGCGTTTTCGGTGTCATCTTGCATACCTTTAGAAATACATGCATGTGTACAATCATGTGACTTTAAAATCGGTTTACCTTAGGTTTTTAGCTTATCTGGTTTACATATGCTATGTTAGAATGCTCCTGAAGTTTGAGTAGGGAGATATTACTGATTCTGTTTCAAACCTGTTTTGAAAAGGAAGATCAGAAGGGGTCTTTGCAGTATGAATTTTAGTTACTTCCAAGTAGAATAATTTGGAGTTGAATTATTGGGTGTAAATTTCGGGAAAGAAGAGTTTGTGGAAAGGCCTAATTGTCTGGAAATTAAGATTTTTCTTCAGCATAGACACAAAAAGAAACAAAACATGGATGCAAAATACCCATCGCTACCACGTCGCTGTAAGGAGGCCTGGCTATACCCTCGGGTTAAGCTGAGAGTCTTTCTTTGCAGGTCAGACTGTTTCTTTTTAGCTGTAGGTGAAGTAATGATCAAGAGCAAAAATCCCTTCCAGCCAGAAATACCCAGGTTGTTCCTGCTGTGAGCTCCCTCTGCTCTTGAGAAGGAATATTTGGCCAGCAATATGATGGTCCTTGAACACATCCAGAGGAGACCAACAGTGCTGGTGACAGGGCTGGAAGGGATGTCCTGTGAGGAGAGGCAGAGGACTCTGGGCTTGTCCCGTTTGGAGAAAAGGAGGCTGAGGAGTGACCCCATTGCTCTCTACAGCTTCCTGAGGATGGGGAGCAGAGAGGGAAGTGCGGATCTCCTCTCCCTGCGATCCAGCGACAGGCAGGATGCGTGAGAATGGTTCAAAGCTGTGCCAGGGGAGGTTTACAGTAGACATTAGGAAGATTTACCGAGAGGGTGGTCAAACACTGAACAGGCTTCCTAGAGAGGTGGGCGGTGCCCCCCACCTGTCAGTGTTTGAGGGGCATTTGGGCAACACCCTTAACAACAGACTTTAACTTTTGGTCAGCCCTGAAGGGGTCAGGCAGTTGGACTGGATGATCCTTGCAGGTCCCTTCCAACTGAAGTGTCCTCGTGTACTCTCTTGTAAAATAATATAGCTGTGCAGCCAGCCCAGAGATGTCGTCTGGTTAGTTACAAGTCGCTTCTTACTTCTTCTTTTCCTCTTCAGCCTCCTCTTCCACATACTCAGTAGTTTGTAGTATCTACATCAGGGGGAAATTTTTTTCACTGTCGGCTGAAGAGTTGCACCCAGCTTGCATTGTACAGTTGCATACTCTTAATTACAGCTTTGAAACACTAATTCATGTATGAGAAAGCTAACCTTTCTTGCTAAAGCTAACCTTTTTGCTGAACAAAATCACAGTTCCTTATTTTCTTTCTTCCCTATTTGTTTCTCCTCTCGTCCTCCTTTAAATTAATGGCTATTGTAGCTTCTCCCACTGTCAGTTAAGTCGCTGTCTGGTGCTTGCACAAGAGAATGAAATTTGTGACTTTTCCAGGGCCCTTATAGGCATCTTGGTTCCTGCTGCTCTGTTAAGTCAGTGAAGATGAAGTGGCTCAAAGTCTTTTCTGGAGTCTGGGAAGTTGCTGCGTTTGTGCTAGTCCGTGCAAAAACAGTCACCAAAAAAATTAATGGTCGTAAGTCAGAACAGATTCTGGAATTACCTTTTACTAGGAGTAAGCAGAATCTAACTTCACCATGCAGTAGGACATAATGAATGAACAGATGGTATACCAACACTTCTTTGTGACAGCAAGTCTCTAAAGCTCCTTCCAGCCCTTTTCAGATCTCCTTTCTGGATGCTTACTGCTCCATGAGGATATTTGTTCTCATCTTTGCTTCCGCCACCCACCCATTCAAGGAAGTGCTAAGAGGCTGGTATAAGTTTACAGGGGTTCCATAGTTTACGGGAGCTGTGAGGCCTGAAGAAAAACTTGGTACTGAATAGGGCTCAAAAAGCTCTGGTATTTTAGTTTTTTTTAAGTTCCTTATTGTGAGAGGAAAGCTAACTGCTTCCCTTGCTCAGGTTGCATCACTTGGTAGGCATTTCATAGCTTCAGAATGATAAGTCAGTAAGGAGTACAGAGGGCCAACAGCCATCCCAGCAGTCTACACTTCAGTTTGGTTTGTCATTGAACTCTTCCTCGGGGGCTTGAGGAGCCTGACAACAACCTTGACCCCGAACAACCGGGTTAACTAGCCCTCCTGTGTCTAGCCTGTCTCAGGAGGGTGTGTTCTCACTCTGGGCTTTTCTGAGAGCCATCGGAAGATAACGGGCTTTTTGGCTTGAGAAATTTGTATCTAAATGGATTGTTGTAGTTTTCTGTCTGTAAAAGAAGAGGGTTTTTTTAAGCATTAGCACAACATGTTGATTATGAAGTAAACTTCAGACAGTAAAGATGAGGACGGCCATGTGCAGGAAGGGCCCAAATGTCATGCAACTGTGTCTTCTCTGTGCGAACTTCTCTCTTTTTAAGAGTGATGTTACTTATTTTCATGCTCATTAAACAAAATTAATATAAACTACGTAGAATTAAAGTGGTTTAGGAGAAGCATTTTTCCTGGATACCCCACATATACTTGCATGGGGCAAACAGTTTCAACTTGAGCAGAGGCTATGGAATTGATGGATTAGTATAGATCAATATTTGTAAAGGTTTTGTTTTTTAATGAAACTTCTGTGCTTCCTTTTACTGACTTACGATAAAAATTGTTTAACTCACTGTTATTAACCTAAAGTTCGAGTGGTGTTTGAGGTACCTTAATAATTTTGCATAACTAATGGATGTGAAGATACTAATGTAGACCACAGTGTAACCTTCTGTTTTGCATCACATAAACCTGAATTATATACATGCTGTGCAAACACACATCTTTGCGTTCCTCCTACTTACACGTGTGTAGGAGAATCTGGTTCGGTTTCCTCCCTCTTACCGTCGATATTAGAGCGCTTCTTTTAGTCTTGTAGCACATTTTGCTGAAGGAATTTGCTGATAGCTCCTGGAGATGTTCTTCAGGAGTGAAGGATAATTGTATACCTAGCCTTAAGATTAAAACCAAACAAACACCAGGAAAAAAACCACCACCTCCCCAAACAAGAAAAAAAACACAAAAAATACGTGTTGAAGTACAGCCCCTTTAGTACAGCCCTTTTTCTTCCAAGTTAATGCTCTTAGCATTTAGCTGTGGACTCCTGGGTAAGTACACAATCTGGTCCAGTTGACGGTCTCTAATATAACAACACTGATCTCTTCATCAGCAGTTTTGTGTGAGCTCTGATCAGTAGGTGTGCACTAAGGATGCTTGTGTAATTGAGTCCTTGGCACAGATCAAGGGACTTGTGGGTTTTGTGCGGTCGGGTACCAAACTTTTGAGGTTTGAACGTACCTAGGACAATGCATTTGAGGATGAGGAAATTTTACTGGCAAAATGCGTGTTTGTGAGCCTGCTCAAAATAACAGTCCGTGGCTTAGTAAAGGACAAGGGAGATGATTAATTCTTCTCCTCTGGGGAGCAAAATACGTGTTTGAAAATCCCTGATGATATCAAACTGGGAAAGTGCAGTTACACTGGAAGACTGGATTAGAATCAAAAGTTGTCAAATTGGAGAAATGGTCTTGACAAATAAAATGCAATCCAGCAGGGACAAACACAGATTTCTAAAGCAAACAATAATCCTCTCTACAAACACAGTGAGTAACAATGGCAGGCGAGGAAATGATGTGAGAGAGAGTGGCGTGTGGGCTCAGCTCCCATTACCTTGTGGCAAAAAAGATGTCCTGAGGAGAACAACACAAAGATGACCACTTTTGAAAACAGAGTGAAGGAACTGGGGTGGTTTTATCTCAAGAAAATGAGAAACTTCAAGAAGAACCCAGCAGTTTTGCAGAAGCTGTGTTTGTAGTTGCAGGATGTATGGGAAAAGCTGTGCTTGTCCTGTAGGCTCTGGCAGACACAAAGGAAGTGGATGTGATGAACTTAAATCACAGCAAGGGAAAGTGAAGCAAGAGAATTCTAACCAGAAAAGGAATTTACTGTAAGGCTCAATTATTTTGAGTGAAGCAGTGGAAATTCTGTCTTGAAGAGATGTAGCATGTAGGTATAGTGCATTGTAGCTGGTTCTGGCTTTGTGCAAGAGTAGGGACCAGGTGATCTCATAGGGTCCCTTACACATATATTTTCAATGAAATTTAAGAACTAGGTGACTGCCAAACAGGTTTTAAGAACACAAAGTCTAGACTCGGCTCCCTTTGTCCATCGATGACCAGCTTCTCGAGCCAGCTGTTTGTTTCCTGGGTAGCTGATGAACTCAACTTAGGACGTGATCCATTGAAGTGGGACTCAATGGGTTCTTTGCTGCTTTGACCTCTAAATTATTCATGTGTTTCATGTATCGTTTCTGATAGTAAGGGGTTGCAGAGCAAGTTGGAGAAAATGTGTACTTGCAGATTAGTATGACTTTTACTTCTTCTGTGGTTGGCTGTGAAACTGTCAGCCATAACACCTCAGAGAATCTTCAGATCGGGATGAGGCTTCAGTGCTTACTCGGTTTGGGTTCTGTGAAACTTGTCACTGCCTCCCCCCTTGTCAGCAGGCATTCTGAAAGAGTAGAAATACTCAGTGCTGGTGTTTTCACATGGGTGCCTAAAGCCCGAACTGTCTGTCCTGAAAAGCATATCCATTCAGATGAAAAATAAGAACTATTCAGATGGGTAGCTGGAAAATGTAATAAAACTTTTCATAAAACACTGGAAGT